AAACACGTGAGAATAAATACGGTTTTCTATAAATAAATTCTGGGGTTTGGGGGGTCCTCCCTCGTATACTAGGGAACTTAAAATAACAGCCACTTATTGCCATGGTCCTGGTGGTTACAAGCCAGTGTCAGTCAGCAGGCTCGGGTCCTCCTGAGACCCTGAGGGCCAATCTGACTCATCACCCCATCTCTGCCCTCCTGTTTGCATGGGCTTCTCCCTGTCTCTCTGTCCCTCCTTCGTAGGACACCAGTCAGGGTGGATAGGGCCAACCCTCATGACCTCAGTTCACCTTGTAAAGACCCTCTTTCCAAATAAAGCCGCATTCTGAGGGAGGCATTGGGGTGTAGGACGTTACCATGTCTTTGGAGCCCAACTCAAGCCCTAATGCCACCCACGCGTTTTCTTGTCATACCTGGGTCACGGGTGCTGAGAAGACATAAGGGAGGGAAGGATGCCCAGAGGGCAAAACAGAGACTGTTATGGATGGTCCAACCTGGGGTTTTATGTATCATATGAACAACTGAATGTAACCTATGGGGAGAGTGGTCCCCAGATCTACGCACACCAGGCCAGCATTCATTTTTTTCTTAAATGCAATCCACTATACTCACAAATACATCCTAGGAGAGACAAGAGGAAAGTCCGCAGTGTGTATAGCTAAAACCCAATTTGCACCACACAATTTGCACCCTTAGTGTGATTGAAACACTCAGGGAATTTCGATATGATTTATTCCATTTCCTTTTTATAAAGGAGGCTGAACGTGGTGGCTCACGTCTCCTCTCAGCACTTTGGGAGGCTGAGGCAAGAGGATTGCCTGAGCCCAGGGGTTCAAGACCAGCCTGGGCAGCTTGGAGAGACCTCGTCTCTACAGTAAATCAAAAAATTAGCCGGGCATGGTGGCCCACACCTGTGGTTCCAGCTACTTGGAAGGCTGAGGCGGAAGGATCACCGGAGCCCAGCAGGTCGAGGCTGCGGTGGCCGTTCGCTTGCCACGGCACTCCAACCTGGGCCACAGAGTGAGACTCTGACTTCAAAAAGAAAAATAGTGGGAGTTCATTATGTCGATTTCAAGACCAACCGATGGTGCCTATGAGAGTTTGAAAATAAA